CAGTCACCCCCTGCCTTGTCCACATCTGCTCTCTCCTTTCCAAGAAGCCTTCCAACTGTGGGCTGGGCCCCCCCTGTCCAGCCTATCTGAAGCACCACACCTGCCCTCTCTAGTCCTGAGCCTCCGCTAGCTCCCACTGGCAGGGGGATCCCCCAGTTGCGTGTGCCTCTGTCCTCACGGCTGCTGCTATGCTTCTGTTCCAACCAGAACCCCTGACACCCTCCTCCTCCCCACCCTGATTTCAATGGGCCATGGGAATCCCATCCCACACATGGAATCTCCCATCCCCAGGCTTATTTGAGCATTAGTTTTTTAGTATTTCTATTCTACACATGTATTCTTGAATGATTTACGGGGGACGGAGGTGGGGTACACCCCTGCACATAGAAGGGAACTGGCCACAAGATCCATGCTCCTGAAAGGAGTGGGGCTAGGCCTGACTGCACTGGGTACCTGTTCCCCGATGGGCACTGCCAGCTCTACAGATGGGCTCGTCACCAACAGGCCAGCCAGGTNACATGTATTCTTGAATGATTTACGGGGGACGGAGGTGGGGTACACCCCTGCACATAGAAGGGAACTGGCCACAAGATCCATGCTCCTGAAAGGAGTGGGGCTAGGCCTGACTGCACTGGGTACCTGTTCCCCGATGGGCACTGCCAGCTCTACAGATGGGCTCGTCACCAACAGGCCAGCCAGGTATGACCCTACCCCAGCCTCACCCTTCCCTTCTCCGTCTGACTCCCATGGGCTACAGCCTTGGGTGTCAAGGGGAAGGGACCAGAATAAAGTATGCAGCTGTGGGAATCCTGGAACTCAGAAACATGAGAAAGGACAAACTAGAACAGAACTTTGAGGGGGAGAAAGGAAGGAGCTGTGCCCCAGCTCAGTTCGTTATCAGAATTCCCTGAGGATGTAACTTAAAGCCAGGCCTGCGAGGCATGGGGATCTAGTTTCATAGTCTCCTCTACCTTCCACTGTCATAGGTTGCCTGGGCTCAGGAGGAACCCTTACAAAACAATCTCAAAGGCAGAGCCTCCCACACTGCACCCCAAGGGAGGGAGGCTGGAGCGCAGGGATCTGCTGCCCTGTGCTACCTGGAACCCTGGAGTCAGGCTTGTTCAGGTCTAAGCTTCAATCCCCCCGCGTGCCCAACAAGGCCAGTTATAGGGGCTACTTGTTCCCTTTCCTCACAGAGATGAGAGAAAACCAGGCAGGTCTAGGCTGGGGAACCCCAAGGTGCCACCTGGACCTGGAGGAACAGTTACACCAATTACAGACTCATAGGCAGGGACTGTGGGCCTGGAATCCTCTGTACTGTCCCCGGCTGCTGAGCCTCCCAGGCACAGGACAAGCTCATCCCTACTTGAGACCGTTTCCTGCATCCATAGCTTCCCGCAGGGAATGGCAGACCTTCAAAACACAGGGCCCTGTATAAACCTCTGGGCTCATGCTCTCCCTGTCCTGTGCAAGGGGAAGCACACCTGCTACTCTCTGTCTCAGGCCAACCATGGGGATTTTTAAAAAGTTTTTTCTTTTAAAGAATCTTGAGTGAAAGACAGAGGTGAAGGGCTTTCGGGCACTGACCTCAACTAAAGGGGGCACAGCAGGTGCTTTTTACCTTTGGAGATAGCCAGAGCGGCTGGTTTTCACAGCAGTGTCGACCAGTCCCTCTCGTCCTGCCATGCAGTGAAAGAAGAACTCCTGTGGAAGAGCGGGACCAGGTCCCAAAGGTGGCAGTGAAGATGGTGTGCTTTCTGAAGGCCAACACCTCCAGCAGCCTTTTCTGACCAGATAGGGCTGCCCACTTCCCTGATACCCTAGGACCTTGGCTTTGATAGCTCCAATGGCCCCAGTGACTTCTCCCCTCCCCTGTGGTTCTCTTCAAGTGGATCAGAAGTAACAGCTTCTGTGTGCAGGAGCTAGGTGCACTCATGCAAACCTCAACATTGCACCCCACACCCCACTGTCCAGATGCAAACAGCACTGGCGACTCACCACCGTTTGGTTCAGCCTGCACATCTGAATTTGCTTCCAACAGTGTACACACTGTTTCCCAAACTTTGTGATTGCAACCCACAGTAAGAAATATATTTACAATAGTAATCAGCAAACACAGACATATATACACACATGCATATAAAGATGTACAACTCAAACTAAAACCTTATGACACTATTCCACTCCTTCCTACATGGGACAGCTCTGATGTTTCCTCTACCACTCTTTGTCATTACATAAAGAAATGCTGGTCACTATCTACTACGATGATTTCATGGTCCACTAAGGAGTTGCAATCAGAATTTGAAAAATTCTGCTCTACATCAACTCTTCATCATCCCTTGCTAGAGGTCATGAATGACCAGCCAAATGGAAAGTCCACGTGAAGGCAATGGAGGAGCCCTTGGAGTAGTCGGTAGCCTGGAAACAAAGGGGTGGTTCACAGTCTAGACTTAGTTGAGCTAGAGGTCATGAATGACCAGCCAAATGGAAAGTCCACGTGAAGGCAATGGAGGAGCCCTTCGAGTAGTCGGTAGCCTGGAAACAAAGGGGTGGTTCACAGTCTAGACTTAGTTATCTGACCACAGAGGTCATCCTTTCAGAGACGTACTACACCAAGGAACAGAAGGTACCAACATTCAAAAAGCCATTTCTGACAAGTGTGAGGAGAAACCCTTCTCTTAGGGGAGAATTCTCTTGCTGACAAAGCAAAACTAGGTATCTGTCACAGCCAATCAATTTTCCCATTGTGACGGAGGAGTCATGGGAGGTCCCTGAGGGAAGGGCTTCCTAAAACAAATCTCAGAGATACTCCTTTTAAGAGCACCCTGGTGAGTGGCACCTCCCTTGCCAGCTGTCTTCAACTGCAGGTGAGAACTGGTTTAGAGAGTCACGGAGCAGAAAAAGGTGGAGCTGGGGCTGGTCCTACTCTTCTTTTCATCTGTCAGCAACCATTTACTGAGCACCTACTCTGTGCCAGCATTATGCTAGGCTCTGGCATTATAATGGTTTACACATCATGGTCGGGTCCTCCTGGGCCCTAGGGTCCAATGGGTACGCAAATGACTTGGCATGTACTACTTGATCATTTGTGCCCAAAGTCATTGGTGGGGACCTATCGTTGAGGTCACCTATCATTGAGCCTAAAAATAAGGAATGCAGCAAAATGGAAAAACCAAAGTACATACAGGTGGCTTAATGCCGGTGAGGAATCTGCCAGTGACGAAGCCACCAGCTATGGGGGTGAACTCATAAGGCTCAAAGCAGGGCAGTGACTTGCCAGATGCCATCAGTGGGGGTCTCCGACCTTCCAATTCAATCTGGCCCAGCAGGCACGAGATCTGGGGGAAAGGAAACCCAAAGAAACTCAAGATACACATGTACGTTAAACAATGCTTTGTCCTAGCAGGGGAGGGATAATTTGCTTTTGAAGAAAAGCTGCACAGTAACCAAGTTGTTGAAGGTCAACCTAGATTTTTAAATGGCCTAAGGAAGCTTGCATTTGAAAAAAATCACTGCATCTGCCTTTTTTTTGACTGATGTGGATATTCACATTTGGGGTTAGATGAAAACAGGTGATGTCAGTAAAAGAAGCCATGGCTCAGAATCATCACGTGTTATACCTGGAAGGGACCTGAGGGTCCTAAAGGGAAATGGAGGCCCACAGAAAAAAGTAATTTATTGTGATCCTTATACTCCAGAGCCAAAAGAGAGCTCAAGCTATTAAGCTGTTTGTTTAGAAAACTTCCTACTACATCTCTTGGGGAAAAGAGCAGTGTGTCTGAATTTTGCTTTAGTCAGGGGGCTTCCTGATGGCCTTCAGCCTTTGAAACCCATCCCCATTACTCTACACTCACCAATGGGGTGGTCTTTAAGACCCTCTAAAGGTTACCAAGATTAAAAACAAAGGTGTTAAGATTTGTGAAAAGGCCATGAGAGCACTGTGGTAATCAGAGGAGATAATGGGCCTCAAATTAAAAGTTAAGAAACCTCTAGGACAACGGTTCTAATGTAATATTAAGTGGAAAAAAGCAGACTATGCAAAAATTGCAGGATCACACATACAGTGTATACACATAACATGAGTATATGCTTGGTAATATATATCTACATTATACACACTGTATCTGTACCTACATCTGTCTGTAACATTGACATGTTAGCAGTGGTTAGTTCCTGTAGTGATTCTGGATGCTTTTATATTTTTCAGTACTTGCCACATTTCACATGGAAAGTGGATCCTTTTTTTTTTTTTTTTTTTTTTTTTTTTTTTCTTTTCCGGGC